GTCAGCAACAGTTGGATCGCATTTGGCGAATGTTTGTATCCTGGATCTCTACTTTTTACGTTCTTAATTACGGATGCTGTAAAAAATGTCTTTTTACTTTTTATTTATTGGATATACAAATATACAGTCAACTTTTAGGAAGGGGACTGCGGCCATGCATAGGCTACCTGGGAAAAATACAGCAATAGGGAAGAGATGCTTGGATAGCTAGTTGTGATACTTCCTAAATGTCTTCTTTCCTGAACATCTTCCAAACTGAGTGATCATTTCTTCACCGTGTGAGTATACCCTTGTACACAGGGACTGTCTTCTTCCTGGTGGGATACAAAACTCTGGTACCGAAGAAAGTATGTTAATTATGGTGGCTGAATCCGACAAGCTTACGATTCTACAAGTTACACGATTAACTATGAGAACCCCACCCTACCCAGGTAAATCAGGCACAAATCTATCTAATCGCCCATAATAATGCCTGCAAGCGAAAAATGTGAAGGAAATTTTTCCATATACCATCCTAGCACGTAGTGCACACTGAAAGAAAGCCTCGTTAGTCTTGGGAGGAACACTTGATGTCTATTGCGTAGTTTGAATAGAGCTTGATATTTGAGCCGTCTGACGTTAGTTCGCAGCAGCTTGCAAACACCCTGAGTTATACCAGATCCTGAAGTTTTCGATATTCGAAATGACCCTGACAGTGACAATCCAGTATGTCATGGTATGTATAGTGCGCATTGCTACATCTTGATACTGCCGTAATGGTCGTAACCTTTCTGTGAGATAGGTTGATTTTTGTTCTAAATCTTTTCAACCTCAGGCAGAACCTTCGGAAATTAAAGTCAGTCTATTGTAAGTTCAACTTAATCCACTAAGGGCGTTCAGCTGGGTGCCCCGCGAACTGATTGGTGCTTTGTCCGTCACACGGTACCTATTGGACTGGGTTTGTTGCAACGCATATGCAGTCGAGATAAACTGATTACTTCATAAAATAACAAGAGTACCCCTTTTGAATGGTTTACCAAACTTGGGTGAAGGTTTCGATCAGTAGGGTCTAACTGTTCGTCTAGTTGGGAACTTTATGCTCTGACTGTTGATCGGGTGAGCTTAAGATGCGAATTAAAGAACTCGGTGATAACGGGTCTCGATTGGCCGCGTAAGAAAGTGGAGTTACAACTTGAAGTTGGGAGGGCGTAGTCGCGGCTTCCGTCTTGTTGACGAGAACCACCTTACTTCTATCAGCCCAACTCTACACACCGTGTCAGTACCATATCTGCATTACAGTGTCAATGCACTCGTTCTGAAGGAGCCCATTCGTGCTCTAAGGATGACGAGACCATGAAGCTGTTTCTTCGCATACCACGAATTGTCCTTCTTTGTTCTGCGGTCGACTCGGGAGGCCGACCACTACCACAGGATATCTGTATGTATATGACTATATTTTACACGTTTTTGAGTTCAGAGTGATAGTGATGTGTTCAGCTTACCACTTGGTTCGTCTAGTCTTTTCGAATAGACTGCACCCTAAAGTGCTGTAGTGGATTGTGCACTAATGATTCAGAGAGCTACACAGAATGGCTTTCTATCATCGGATCATACACCCTCTGGACGGGGTCAAACGTCCAAGGTATTCAATACACCACGTTCAATCGAACCGTTGACCGGTTGTTTTTCGTCCTCACACTTTGATTGGAGAACACCTGCGCCACAGGAAGGTAGTTAGTTGGGCTTCCTCAGCAGAGGCTATTTGAGACGCTTGGTCGTATGGAAGCATTTCGCGAGGTACAAGAGAGGGGTGACCAGCCGCAACCCGAGACATCCGCCCCCGATCATACTGGGGCTTTCAGAGGCGATTTCTACGATAAACTCAGCAACCTCATTTGAATGAGTTTGAACTCCGATATCGTTGTGCTTGCAGATGATTTTAATGTATAGATTGAACAACTGAACGTATCAGAGGCTTGTCTAGGCTGTCAAACCCTGCCCCGCCTACGAACGGAAAATGGTAATCGGTTTCTGCAGTTCTGCGCAAACCACCACCTGTTCCCGTCCAGTATCAACTTCCGACAGCTCTCAATGGACGTAAACGTAGCCCTCCAATGGAACTGGTATGCTAACTCAGATCGACCTCATAACGGTAAGCTATCGTTGGCGTGGCTCAGTGCACATTAGGTATCTCATTGAGTCAGTAGTTCTAATAAAGAAAAAAAAAATGACAAACATCAAACGATCAGGATCAAAATGGCGAAAGGTGGTGTCTGTAATGTTAACTCATGAAAAAGATTCAAGAAAGACCGTACACACTGATGAGCGACAGTGTATAGTCAAATGGAAGTAACCGCAACATCAAGGAATAGTCGACTGATACGCAACATGGGAGGTCGAGGAACTCCAGTTAGTGAAAAAATCTGCGATAGACGCAGACAAGCTGTCCACCATAGAAAACAATGGCTTAACCGCTGGCCGAAGTATTTCAGCGAACATTTCCGTTGACTTAGCTCTAACCAGATTCTCCCGTTTTCCGAAGCAGATGCTCCCTGGTCGGTTATCTGAACCTCCCACGGAAGCATTCAGGCCTTGAGGAAAGGAAAAGCAACAGGATCTGACCGGCTTCCAGTTTTCAAGTAAGAACCTTGCAATTATTGCGCAAACCACCGCGGGATAAGTTTGATCCCAGTCGTCACCTAATTACTAGCTTCCGTCACACTTTGACGTTTAACGCCTTCACAGGAGATTCATATCCATGAGCAGCAAGCAGGATTTCGACCAATTGGCCAATTCTCTTGGGTGAACAACCAGTGATCCACCAACTCGGATATAGGCTTTTCGTCCTCTCACTTTGGTGGGAAATACCTGGGCCACGAGAAGGCAATGAGTAGGGCTTCCTCAGCAGAGGCTATTCGAGACACTTGGTCGTATGGGAGCATCTCGCAAGGTACAAGGAAAGGATGACCAGCCGCAACCCCAGACACTCACCCCAGACCATACTGGGGCTTTCGGAGGTGATCTAAAAGGAGCCTGCGACTCAGTTGACAGTGAAGCGTTAACGGGTACGCTTGTTCGAAAAGGTATGCCGCTGAAGTATTTAAATATATTGGGATCACTGTATTCGCATTTTTTTGGCAGCGTAACGGTCCACGGTGGACTAAGCAGATCGTTCGAACCAGGAGCAGTGTTCGTCAAGGTTGCCCCAGTTCGCCGGTCCTGAATATTTTGCGAATGCTTGCGTACAAAACATCTGATCTTCCGCTATTAACCACCACGGAGAGTCGCATTTGGTCTCTCTCAAAATCTCCAAGGTGTTTGGCCGAGTTTAGCATAACAGATTCCTGGTTCCTGGTGAACTCCTCTCACGTTTCATCACTGAAATACAAACTTCCTTTGCGATCATCAGATCTCTGTTCACATTGATGGAGTCATTTTGACAGCAATCCAAGTGAACTCCGTGTTCCTTCACTTGATAGATGATTTTTTCACTCCCAACTCCTAATGCTATCCATACTTTTACCGATAGTACCACCCTATATCGTTCGCTTTCTTAAAACATTTTACGTGTTTCTTCCATTATCACCACTTACGATCGACTGTCTGCGCGTTCTACACGCAGCTCAAATCTGAGTGCCCTTACACCCTGACACACTAAAACCCAGCCGTTTTCAATGCCACCTGAACCTGTACCCCCCAAATGTACTGTTTGAGCTCCCAATGCACATATATTCTGTTATTCACCTGGTTTCCTTTATTGGTTGTATCCAATTGGCCCGCAATTTTCCTCTCTCTTGTCTCGTTCTTCTCATGGGTGTATTTGCATCGGGTGCTCCCAGGAAGATTTTCTTCCTTTTTCCAAGCAGAGCAGTTTTTCAGATCCTCCCAACTTCTCACTCTACAATTCACCCCATTTCTGTGAGCGAGACTCTTCCTTGACCTTCTTGGACCGTGTTCAGCATAAAGCCATCCCATCCCTAACACACTTCAACCACTTGCTAATCACCATGTCATGTTGTCTCTTCTCTGCCGTTATTGCCACGATGTTTGCTCTGCAGATGTTTTCCATTTGGTCCCTCCACTTTATTTTGCTTGCAATATTCGGTCACGGACGTTCAATGGCTCCTCATCAGGGAACTGTAAAATCCTACCGAATGGCAACGTTGAAGTTCTCTTTTCTAAGAACCGCAGAATAGTGATATATTGTTTTTCTCCATCTGAAATCTTTTCTATTTACAAGGGTTAATTTAACAAGCTCTGTTTTAGATAAATGCTTCACTTCCATTCCCATTATACATTATTTTTTTGAGTATGGGGTTTTGCTCCTTTAACATGCATGCAGCTTGTATGTCATTCAGTAGAAAGAAAAGTGGTGGTTCCTACTAAAACTAATCGGTATTAGCAATTTACTGTGTGCCGTTTCTCTAAAGTTGAGCAGACGGTGGTTTTCGACGAATCTGTTAGTCATCTGTTGAGAACCGTTTTTTATTGATTTCACCCATAATTTGTGATTCGTGAGGTGCGAAAGATGTTAGGCTTCCGTTAAATGCTGACAATAATTGACAGATAAAGAAACACAGTAAACCTTCTTAGATTTCAGGCCTCGTGGTTGCTGGTGATGGGCATAATTATTATTTATATCATTATTATTATAATTATATTATTATATCCTTGTATCCCCACTGTCTTGACTGTGTTCAACATGTTCACATCTTTTCCTAAGATCAACGGAACTGCATTGTAGAAAGAATAAGATTCACTTTTAGTAAGATACCCATATTGGTCTTCCAGTTATACAAAATATTGAAGCCATGTGATGATCAAACGGTTTCTTATGTACCGGACCACTTTGAGTTTCATCTGCTCTTCGTTTTGAGCTATTTATGTCTAACCTGCTGTTCATCGATATCTGCAAACCATCTTCCCTTTCTTTCGCAGTTTTAAATCGTACGCATCTGATTTCCCGCATCACACCGGAAAGCCCTTGACACACCGCGTCGCATCATCATCGACTAGCTTGAATGGAACAGGACCCGTTCACTGACTTTTTAGATTTGATTGTGCAGGGCGAGGAGCGTACATACGAGCGTGTCTATCAGGACGCGTTCCATGAAGCTCGCGGGGAAACTAGCGACCGGGTAGAGGATGAGGACAATCGAGCACAATGTGTGCATTCCTATCGTGAAGGTCTGTACTCGGGGGTAAAACTCTGCTCGGAGTTGTGCACTCTGTACGGTCTGATTACGGAGTTGCTAGACAAAAGGTAAAGATACATTTATGGATTGAAGCTCTTATCTTGACATAATTTGGATTTAAACTTATTCACTCACATTACAGCACAACTCGAAATCTATCGCCTATTTTACGTGGTTACACTACAGGGTGGTGGTGGCGCAGTGGTTTAATCGCTGTCACGGGTGTGCTTTGGACCCCGTGGTTCGAGCCCCGCCACCGCCACCCAACTTTGGTGATAGACAGCCTTGCTGTCGTCCGGTTCAATATCACACCTGACCTATGGGGGCCTTATTTGGTTCGCCACTCCAAGTCCCCAGGGCTTAGGATACCGGTTGCTATCTCTGGTCAGAAGTTCTTCGTGACTGTGGGGTCCACCCCGACTGCTGTTTATCACACTTAGGTGTGTAATAAAATATCTAATATAAATACGAATACGTTGCTCGAAGATTAATATGAGAGAAACAAAGTGACTCTGGTCGTGTTCAGTTACTCGATGAGCCTGACAGTTATCGTGCTCAGCAAGCAGCTGATTGCCTATCTGTAAAATCGCATATAATTCATGTTGGTTGACGCTTGTGTGATATATTTCTAAAAGCACTCCAGTTTCCGATTCCGTGAAGAAGGTAACTGCCAATATTTGCCACAATATCGCTCCAGTGAATCAAAATATAACGCATCAAGCGCATCAAAAAATTGGTTTAGTGCATGGTGTTTCACACAAAAACCTAACTGTTGAATTTCCTGATAATTTTGTTTACTTCGTGTGCATATCTTTAGCGGTGTCGAAATATCCTCGGTTGGTTTTAATGTGAAATTCACAGACAGTTGGCATCAGAATTATTAGCATTTAACAAGCCTAATTCAATGATCGGATCAGTTCAGAGAAGAAGCAGTAAACTGTGTCAATCGGAGTGGGGGAGCGGGAGAAGATGTCAGGGAAATTGCTCGAAAAACGATCAAGGATGCGATGGAAAATGTGTGTGGTAACCGACAAAGAGCACTGGACAGCTGTTTCGTCCTGTTTGGGACTCATCAGCAGTGCGTACTGTTTATGTCCCTGTCAAGACACGAACCGCGAACTTTCGGGTTTGGACTTCAAACCCTTACCCTACACGGTCGACGGTTATTACTTTGTGTGAATGGCTCAATCAGTTTAGAGTATCAAGCTTGGATTAGCTCATTCGACTGTTCAGAGATTTGAAGTCCCGACCCGGATGTTCATGGTTCGAGTCCTGACAGGGACACACAAAGTACGCACTGCTGATGAGTCCCAAACAGGACAAAACAGCTGTCCAATGCTCTTTATCCGTTATCACAAACATTTCCATCGCATTTGAATGCATTACCTCGTGGGAAATCAACAATCTCCCAAGGAGTGAAACCCACACTCAAGACCATCAAAAGTGCCTGGTGCCTCTGAACAATCGAATGGGCTAATCCAAGCTTAATACTCTAAATGATTAAAGATGTTCATAGCAAGATTCCGAACAGTCAAAAGCTTTATATTCAACTCCCATGGTAATTTTCGTATGATCACCCAAAATAATTCCCAGACAGTTGTTTCGTTCTTATTGTATCTCGCCAGACCGGACTCAGGCCGCAATCCTTTCGGTCGGGAACCGAGACCCCCGGTTCTGAGCTACACTGTCGGCGTCCAACAGGTTAGACAACTGGCTACATTCAATTCGAATGCTGTGTCCCCATTGCAACCAAAACACACATAACATGTGAACTACTGAGGGGTAGACGGGTAACTAGAACTTAGTGCTTGTGAAAATCAAATGGACTAGTCCAAATATGTTCTTTCTGTTTGCAGTTTTTATATCGTGATTTCTGATAAAACCACACCAAGGAGCTCTCTGGAATCAGGAGAAACATTTTCTTCCGAAGAATGAGGATTACCAGCCCTAATTTAGAGAGGTAGTTAGAGTCTATGTATTTACCGGAGGGCAATTTACTCCCTGTTTATAGTGATCAAAAATGCGTACATTAGGTTATGTGGCTATATGTTATGGATACGTGCACACTCTCGTAGACCAAAGCTGATAATGAATCAAAAGATGAACTATTTTTTCACACAAAACCTGGGGTTGTTTCCGACAGAACTCCATACAGAGTGATTCAATGTAAACACATTTTTTCCAATCGGATAAAGTGTCAGTTTTACACCGTGCGCTCTTAAGCTGTATCGGATTCAGGAAATGCTCTCATCTGTTTATGGCATTAATTCGATTGACAACTTCTTACCATCAAACAAAACATCCTTTCTTGCGAACAGAAGTGCGTCAGACAAAACAAAGGAACCACTGGGGTGCCTCCCATGTTATATGAGTATTGTGCACTTATCTGAATCAAACTGTCAACATTATTACTAATATCCACAGGGGTTATGCAATCCTAATAGACGTTGCGTTTAAAACGTGCTATCCTGTTAATAACAAGCTTTTCAACCTGATCATAAGGACTGCCTCTAGTTTGCTGGGATGATCCCGAGAGTAAATAAATGCGTAACGATTAGTAGTATTGCTTTTTTCATAGAAGCAAATCCATTTAAATACTGTTATAGTAAACTAGATTCGTAAGACAGTTTTTGTTACCGGAAGAGTTAAAACCTCAGCTGATGTTTCTAATGAGATAGATTAACTACTTTCTGTGAACCGGGAAAAATATGGCTGACTTGTGCAGGAAGTAATTTCAGATAGGAACGATTAGATTAGGCTTTTCGCACCACAATGAAACAAAATACCGCGTAGATTTTCCAATGAACATCAATAAAGTAAAGGAGCGCAGTTTCAGGTCATAGTAGTCAAGACACTCTGGCATGGTGGTGGTGGTGGTGCAGTGGTTTAATCGCTGCCACAGGGCCCTATGGTTCGAGGTTCGAGCCCCGCTACCGCCACCCAACTTTGGTCGTAGGCAGCCTTGCTGTCGTCCGGTTCAATACCACGCCCAACCTATGGGGGCCTTATGTGCTTCCCCACTCCAAGTCTCGGGGCTTAGGTTACCGGTTTCCATCACTGAACAGCAGGTCCTCGTGACTATGAGGCTTTCCCCGTCTGCTGTTCATCACACAGGAGTGTGTAATAAAAAAATGGATGCTGTAATACATATTACTCAATTGATTGAGGCATAGACTGTAAAAAATGTATGTATACAGGTGAATTCGTGAGTACGTTCGAAACCAGCGGAAGATCAATTCGATGACACCAAAATACACATTTTAATTTCATGTAGGACTCTCGAACCAAAACGCGATAACTGAATCACTCAGGACGTTAGGATTTGTAACTATCCATTCAAACGGAAATTAGTGTCTTCACGGCTTTTTGTATTCACTAAATTCTAATAGGGAATCTAAGTTATCGGGTTACCTATTCGGAGATCGCATTTTTATTACTAATAATTTACTTTTAATATCTCTAGAAATATCGTAAATCTTCTGAAAAACAAATCCCCCCAATTGATAAGCAGCATCGCAATAATCTTCAGCCCTCGGACTGAAATTCAATATATGGTTAATGCTCTTCAGGTCTTACATACATGGGGTATACAGTAGTTCAGTAATTCTTCAACGAGCCTGTCGGTATACGGGCACGTTTGGAACTTGGTGTTTAAGTTCATTCCAATCATTAGGAAGCTGAAGCCAGGAGATCCAACCAGATTTATGTATTCTGTTTGGTCTACTGGCCGGTCATTCTGCATCATCGGCTCTGTCTGAATAAAAGCGCGCGTCAGAGCATGTTTTTACATGATCTGTTCACTAACCCTCTCACTGCACTATAATCACAGCCTAGGATACCGTAACAAGCCCTTTGAAAACACTTTAACATTCAGAGTCACCACAATGTCCAGAACTGAACCAGTCAAAAGACTCATGCCAGCCGCGTATGGCTGTTACCCAAATTAGGTTGTGTTTACGTGTTTTAATCTTGAGGCTTAATTATAAAATTACTGCAGTGTCTATCCCAATCATGAAACCAATTCGGATTGAACCCAGGCCACCCTGACAGTTGATCAGAAAATAAAACAATTGAATCGCGTCATTCCCACATCCGTTATCGTCGCACATTCTAGTCCGGGGTCAAAACATTCATGCCTAAATATCCGTAACTGAGTCTGATCTCTTTGGCATCTGGTAATGCTTGAGGATACCTAATGATTTACTTGTCCTGGGGCATTGGACATGCGCGTTTTTTTTTGCGAAATTACCACAACGATCGGACTGGAACACACGAGATCGCAACCCATCTCGTTTTTGGTGCTTCATGGTTTTACTGAATACAACACGTTATATGAATAAGGAAAATTGAGTGTATAGTGTACCATCCGAGTAGGTATTAATCAAACGAAACAAAGATGTCGCATTTGTTATTCTGGATAGTCATACCCATTCCGAGTTTGGAATATCCTAACAGGAGACAGAAATGACCGGGAATTGCGCCCAACTTCAATGTCCGGCCTATGGGCTTTTACTCTCACAAACGACTTGTAGTCATGTCCAAGCCAGTTAGCTCATCACCTCGTCAATACGAACGCATTTACCGTGCTCTCGTTCATTTGCCCCCGTGGGACGAGCTTTGTCGGTCAAATCAGGAGATATCTATCTGATCAAAATTAAGACTAGCTAGCTAAACCGCGGGGTAGAGCAGAACGTACCTATGGTGATGTTTACCGATTCAACTGACTTCTCTTCGTGCGTTCGTATATTATTTAAAAAACGGTGATTTTTTTAGCGAAATTTCGATCTCCCTCAATCTCAGGGGAATCACAGTTGCTCCGACCTCTTCATGTATTTAATTTATTTGATAAACCATTTTTTCCCGGTTGATGGTTTAACTGTGAATTACATTAGAATTCTCTGTCCGTTGATAGCTATCTTTTTTTCCGATCCAAGCTCCATCAAATTGATCGTTTGTCTAGTCAGAGCTTCTCTTGTTTGTTGTTTTAGTCATCAAAATGAGGAATGGTCCCCTTTGAATGCTCGATCTAAACGTGATACTACCGTGATCAAGACAGCCACGGATCTAAAAGAAATGCTCACCGGAACCTCGGGTTTGTTAAAACTTAATGATGATGAGGAGCAGCTGCCCATCGGGATCAATTATAACGCGCATACTTTCGAACATGACATTTCTCTAGTTCGAAGTAAGGCAAAACTTTTGCAGAATTTATTGGACGTGCACTTGATCGAGGAAGCTACAAGCCAGTTGAGCTTTTAAGACTGATAAACGAACTGAAAACGACCTCGGATTACTCTTTCACACCGGGATGATGACACGCAACGGTCTTGGTGTTCCACGATCTGGACAAGGCACTCTCGTTGGTCTCTGCACTTGAGTTTACGACGCCGCGTTTGATGAGATCCTGACTTGTCTGTACAGTATTGCATACAATGTATATATATACCTATATCTATAATGATCGAACAATGCTATTCTGCACTAATGGATTTGGTGATTTCTAATTTCCAAATTTCTAATTTTGGGCCTGTTTTATGATCAATTGTTTGAGCGCAGTCAGTTGCTGTCTTCCGAACGCGTGTCATAGTAAACACTTGTATCTATATATCTGGAATTTCTCATGAGCACCGTTGGTGTCCCGGTTGATAGCGCTACATCACGGCCTGTGTGCGAAATTGGCAATACAAAGCAGCTCTTCATCCATGATGAACAGCTCCCGGTTCAGTATGATGCTTGTACCACTCCACTTGGGTTTCGTTTATGGTGGGTGTCGTTCCACTTCCCTGGTCTGATTTTTTCAACTTTTATGGTCGAACAGTCAGTCCCCGTAGCTGTGACATTCACTCTCGCGCTGTGCTGCTGATTTCATTCAGACTAGTAATGAAAAGGGAATTTAAAACCAGGTTCCATGAAAGCTATGAGTGCATAAACCACGCTCTCTGTTTCTCTGGCTGTTTTTATAAATCGTCAAACGTATCTTTCATTCCTTTTTCGCACTTTGCGTACTGAGGATGATATTTCTGGATCTGTATGAGCGTTTTCCTCGAAAGTAACGTTGATCAGTTTTGAGACTGAATCCGTAATAGAGCAAGTGGATAAGTTTTGTTATCTGGGCAGCTACATCTCACCCGGTGGACGCATCACGGATGAATTGTCAGCTCGCATACAGAAGGCTCGATTGGCATTTACCAATTTGAGACATCTGTGACGCCGACGCGACATCCGGCTGTCTGTGAAGAGTCGAATGTATGCCGCGACAGTTCGGCCCGTCCTGCTATACGGTGCAGAAACTTGGTCATTAAGAAAAGAGGACAAAGATAGACTCGGTGTTTGAACATCACTGTCTACGCGGCATTGCACAAATTTGGTGGGGCAGCCGGACGAGCAATGCTGAGGTCAGGTGAGAAGTTTTAGGCAACCGCGGGCGCCTACTGGAGCAAGTGGTCGACTTCCATGGATTACGTTGGTTGGGGCGAGTGATGTATGCCGGGGCAGTTAGTGGGTGGAATAAAGCCCAGGGTGGTCAAGCTAAGACCTAGCACGAGAGTAT